TAAAAGCTTCAGGCTCAGGGCCTCACACCTGAGGGGCTAATAGACAAGTTTCCCATCCACTTGTTAGTGTGAACAGCAGCCAGCACTGCTTCCACGGGGCTAGACTCATTTTGTCTCCTTTCCTCTCACTGTGCAGCAATGGGTCTGGTCAGGAGCTTCAAAGACCAGGAGTGACCAGAAACAGGAACTGGACACCAGAGCAAGACACCAGGAGAGGTAGACATCCCCCAGTCATCCAGAGAGCCAAAGTTAGTCTGTGTTCATTGAAAATGAAGGTGCATATAAGACACAGAAACGCAGACACATGTATGCTGACATGCAGTCAGCTGATCATCTTGATACCGGGTCTGGAAATGAAGACCAGGCCTGACTGGAAACAGACCTTGCTCCTATGGACGTTTATGAGAATCAAGGTCTTGACTTAGATCTTAATAATGGCTATTATTCAGTGCATGGAGCTGTGAAACCCAGATGCTGCTGGGGCTGAGTCAGGTCTTTTCCAAGCCCTGCAATGAAGAGCCAGTTGTCTTGGTTTTCCAGGTGGGGAGCTGAGGCCTTGGGTACCTGAGTGACCAGATTTGCAGCTCTGAGCTGGTCCAGAAGAGCCTGGGTTTGAACACATCTGACTGACAGCTTGTTTCTTTGCTTCACCAATCCCTACCATGCTCAAATGAAGAGGAGTATATTTCACAAACCAAGTAGAATAGTGGTGGTGGTATGGTGACAGGAATATGGAAATCAGCCAAGGGCCCAAGCCCAAAGCTCAGGCTTTGTATCCATGACAGAAGCCCTATGCTTCTTAGGGTTTCAGGAGGCCGACATTGAAGGGGAGCCTGGTCCTTGCTCCTGGCAAACAGGCTCAGAAGTGAGCTGGTTCCAGCTCAGGAGGAAGTAGCCATTAGAAGTCAGGGGTCAGAGAGGCACCTTTGGTACTTACTTTGATAATGTGGTCTGTAGTGGTGGGAGGTGGTCATAGATCACCCAACATATACTTCCATGGTTTCTGGGTCACTAAGGTAGAGGGAGTCAACTCTGGGCTCTGCTGGACCTGGACTGAAAGACAGTCCTCTCACGTGCCAGCTTCTTCCCAACTGCTGGAGATGTATGTAGCAGAATCCCCTGTCTCTGCTCTCAAAAGGCCTTCTCAGGGGTGGAGCCAATTGCATCTTTGATGGTGTGGAAGTGGACAGTTCTTAGCATGGAAGCTATTCAGTTCCTGACATTGAGGCTCCAACACTGGGCCTTAACTCACACAATAGGTACTTCTGCTATTGATCCCCAAACCAAGTGGCTCTCAAGCCTCTGTGAGGCGAAGGAGGTGCATGTAGGAAGCTCTGAGTTTGCAGAGGCTTCAAGGAACTAGCAGACTGGCTGGCTGGGCCTGGCTCTCCACCCTGATCCCTCCAGGGAAAAGTTCTGCAACCTTGGGAACTATGCAGATAACTACTGATGTTGACTGCCCTCTGAGTCACCATTTCTCACCTCAGCTGTCTGGCAATCCATCCAGACCCTAGGAGGCAGCCACCTTGTCAGTTAAGAGTGCTAAATCCCGGGAAAGGAAAACAAACCTTGAAAATGGTCAGCCTGACTGAGTACCAACATCACAATGTTCGTACGTTGGCCCAGGGTGACATCTCTGCTTGAGGTCCTATCTCATAGCCCTCCCTCCTCCTAGCCAAGAGCTCCAAGGAGCAGCTGCCCATGAGACCTTCTGCCACTAACACAGCAAACACCCCCAGCCATCAGAGGTGGAAAGAAACACTCTTTTAATACATAGAGGTCAAAAGCAATTGCTTTTGTTTTATTAAGGTTTGTGATGGGTGGTGTTTTTGTTTTGTTTTTTTACCAAATGAGCACAAGAGAAAATTGCATTAACACCTTTAAGAGGGGAGAGGTTTTAAGATCATGGGAAATGCTCTTGAAAGGGATTGTGGTATGTCCTCTCGCTCTTGTACCCAGACACGAGGCAAGCAATCTCCTTTGGCGAGGCTCACGCCATGGCCTATTATGCTGTCACGGACCCAAAGCAATGGGACCATTCAGCCATGATCTGAATCTTTGACAGCTGTGGCCAGAATAAGCTTTCTTTTTTTAAAGTTAATTGATCTCAAGTGTTTAATCACAGATACAGATGCAGGCTAACAGTTACTGAGAGTCCAGGTGCAAATGCCCAGTCTTTCTCAAATGTCACCTTCCTTGTAGGATGCAGAGACAGAGGAAATACTGGGCAATGGATGTCACCACCAAGTGGAAGGTAGACCTCGGAGCAACCACTTGGCATTCCTGAGCCTCCCACAGCAGGCCTCCTATCCTACCAATGCTCTCACACATTCCCTTTTCTCTGTGACACTGCTCCTGTGAACTCTAGGCTTCTGCTTCCTTCCCACTGACCGTGGGGTGTCATTAGGATCCAGGTATCCACGTGTGGAATCTCTGTCCTTACTTTTTCTTCCCTGGTTGTGGCATT